CAGGGGCATGAAGGGGATGTGCTTCCAGGGCATTTGCTGGCAGGGTGTCTCGTGATCTCTTGGTATTGGTGTGAGCACAGCCTGGCAGGAGAGGGCAGATCTCAGTGCAAAGTATCATGTCAAAAAGCAGATCGAAGCCAGGCCCCCTCCTGGAAGAGGCTCCTTGAAGGTAGGTGCACACTCATGTCTTTGTTACTTGTAAGGGGGCATCTTACAGGCAAGAGGAGTTAGGTGAATGTGAAGAGGAAGGAACTGCTCACTCTGGGCAAGGGGCTGGGGGAGGCTTCGTAAAAGAGTGGGTGTTTGAGCTGGGCCTTGAAGGTCGAAAGGGTTTTGTTAGGTGGGAAATGGGGGAAGGACAGCCTGAAGGGGTTAGGTACCTTCAAGGAGCCCAGAGAAGGTTGGTGGCTGGAGCAGACCCATTCGTAGAGTGAAGTCATGGGAGAAGAGGCTGGGAAACTAGATTGGGTCCAACTCCTAAAGGCCCACTGAAGGAGTATGGGTTGCACGCTGGGTGCAGCAGGTGAGTGTCCTCACTTGGGTTTCACTGTCAGCATTTTTAAAAGGCAAACTGGTTCTCTTCCTGAGGAGAATTCACTGATGCACTGATGTGGCCAGTAAGTCATCTGACAAACCTTTGTGTACTTCTGATGGGATAGGAGTGTTTGTAGACAACGGTCACACAAATATGCAGCCCAGTGCAGCTCAGGAGCAGCCTTCCATGGATAAGCCATTGGTACCTACAGTGTGCTCCTGTCCTTGCTAATCTGAACACATGGGTAGTAACCTTAAGCGTGTCTCAATCTTCTGACTTGTGATGAGGTTTCCAATTCTTGTTCCTGACTTTAGAATGAAGTTTGGAGAGATGTCATTAAGTGTCTAGGTTCTGAGGATTACTGTGGGGTGGGCAGAGGGAGAAAAGGGTGTTGGGGCCAGATGTTCCTGTGCTTCTACCAGAAAGTTGATTTGCCCAATGTACCACCCTCACTTGGCAGGCCTGAGCAGAGTGGCCTGCCACTCACAACCCAGAGAAAGAAGGAACAGTGCGGGCTTGCCCTGGCGGGTGCTTGGATGCCCTAAGCTGCAGCATCCACGCCAGGTGGGATTTGGTAGGGTAGGCCCCCCATCCACTGTGTCTGATCATACTGCCTTTGAAAGAGGAGGGTGGGTGATGAAGACAAGACGATGAGATAGGGTGGCCTCAGCATGTTGCAGCACCCAACTGGAACATTTGCAAATGATACTTGGAGAAAGCTTTAGGAAAGAGGCCCACTTCATTTATGAAATGACACTAGATAATGTTTGACCTTAGTCACATGTTCCTTGAGTCCTCATTTTGCCCTCTGTTGGCTGACTCATGCAGCTTCACTTTTAATTAAAGGTGGGCTGTGATGAGAGTCATGATCAGTGAGTGGCTTCCATAGCAGAAAGTTCTGTGTAGTTCTTGGGGGATGTGAGTTTAAGTATGAGGTGCTAAGACGAATATGTCCATACATTGTATTCTATTTCCTCTATCCTTTCCCTCCTCTAACCATTTCTGCCTTCTTCATCTTTCTAACTTTCCCAAGGCATTTTACATCAGATTTCAGAGGTAGAACAGTGGATGTTAGAACAAACCCAAATTCTTAATGCTTGTTACCATGAAAACATGGCAACACTATTCACATTTTCTTTACAAATGGCCTGTACGGGTCAGCCCAGGCATTGACTTAGGAGCCCATTGTTTGCATCCTCTGGGTCCTTGTAGTTCATATGCTGGAGCAATGTATAGAGGCGCACAGAAGGGCTGAGAATGTGGCCATGAGGTATGTAACAATGAGGCCCAGAGCCTGAGCTTTGGTGTCTAGCAAACCTAGGTTTGAATGTTAGCTCTTTGTGTTCCTGTGTGACCTTGTTGGTTACTCGTGTCTCTGTGTCTCCTTCTCTTATAAACCAGGAGGTACAAATGCCACTCATGTCACAGGGCTGTTGCTGGGACATACACTTGCACCTTGTGTTCTCTCTTTCTGGGACTCAGGTTCTCAAGATTTGCTTCTACATTTACAGGTTGGAGATTATTCCAGCAACGCTGAGGAAACTTTTCTTTTATTTTTTTTCTCAGCTTTGCAAATTTCAGAGATTTCCAACAGTGTTCGAGGGACTGTGATGTGCTCTTGCAAAAATCCCATATGTTTTTTGAAGAATCTCAGTTGTGCTATCTAGAAAATGAATCAGTTAATCTAGAACATGGTTTTCAAACCTATGTGGCCATGGAATGTCATTTTGGAGGGACGCTTTCACAGGATGTAAGATTCTGAGTGAAAGCTTTTTTTTTTTTTTTTTTTTGAGACAGTCTCTCGCTGTGTGGCCCAGGCTGTAGTGCAGTGGGGCAATCTCTGCTCACTGCAACCTTCGCCTCCTGGGTTCAAGCAATTATCCTGCCTCAGCCTTCCAAGTAGCTGGGATGCCATCATGCAAGGTGCATGCATGCCATTACGCATGGCTAATTTTTGTATTTTTAGTAGAGACAGGGTTTCGCCATGTTGGGCAGGCTGGTCTTGGACTTCTGACCTCAGGTGATCTGCCCACCTTGGCCTCCCGAAGTGCTGAGATTACAGGTGTGAGCCACCACACCCAGGTGAAAGCTATTTTCTTTAAGCCCTTGAAAAAAGTTGTGCCACTTCCTTTTGGTATCCTTGGTTTGGTAAGGTATCATTTTTCTCACATTGCTTCCAAGTTTTTCTTTTTTTTTTTTTTTTTTTTGTAAATTATTATCATTATTATTATTATTTTAAAGACAGGGTTTTACTTCATTGTCCAGGCTGCAGAGCAGCATTGCAATCATAGCTCACTGTAACCTTGAACTTTTGGGCTCAAGCAATCCTCCTGCCTCAACCTCGCAGGTAGCTAGGACTACAGATACGAGCTGTCATGCCCAGTTAAGTTTTTTTTGTTTTTATTTAAGAGTTCTCAGAAGTTTAACTCAAGTGTTTTAGTGTAGAATTTCTTTGGATTTATTCTCTTTGGGATTTGTTTAGCTTCTGAAGTCTGCAGGGTTATGTCTTTTGTCAAATTTGGGAAATTTTCAGCCGTTACTTCTTTGATTTTTCATCCCCACACTTTTTCTCATTTCCTCTGGGACCCTTATGACACAGATGTGAGATCATTGTTCATAGTCCCACAGGTACCTAAAGCTCTGTCCATCTTGTTTTCCCATGTATTTTCTATTCGTTTTTCAGAATGGGAAATTTCTGTTCTGTCTTCAAGTTCACTGGTTCTTTCCTCTGTTCTTTCTATTCTGCCAGTGATTCCTTTATAGAGTTTTTAAAATTTCAGTTATGGTATTTTTCAGTTCTAAAATTTCCATTTGATTCCTCATTATGTCTTCTATTTATTTTTTGGCTGAGACTTTCTATTTTTAGTTTGTTTCAGATGCGTTCTTAATTGCTTAATGAAGCATTTATATAATGGTGGTTTTCAATTTTTTTTTACAGATAATTCTAACATCTTTGTCATCAGTGTTGACATCTCTTGATTGTATCCTGTCATTCCATTTGAGATCATCCTGGTTCTGGGTATGATGTGTGACTTTTGATTGAAATCTAGAGATTTTCATATTATGTTACTAGGTTTAAGGTGTTATTTAAACTTTGTTTTAGCTGGCATCCTCTGACATCACTCCAGCAGAAGAAAGGGAAGGATCATGCCGCATTACTGCCTGGTGAGTGCAGTAGTCTACCTTCCCCACATGGCCTCCATTGATTCCTGAAATGGGTGGGGGTACTCCTTGTTTCTGCTGGGCAGGAGTGGGCTTTTTGGATCTGATCTGGGGCTGCACTGATACCTTTGTGGCTGGGAGAGTTTGATATTTTTCAGCACTGTATTCAGTATCACCTGCACAGACACCTTAGGGGATGGGGACTTGCTATTGCCTGGCAGGGATGAAAATGCCAGCTCCCTGATTGGCCACCTCCAACAGCACCAAGGTAGACAGGAGGGATGTTACAGCTTAGCAAGCATGTTACACTGAGCCCCCTAGTTGACCTTTGCTGGCATGTGTGGAAGTGGGGATCAAACTATATTTCTGTGGTATTTAACTAGAGTAAAGCAGCTTACTGTCTAAAAGTTTTCTATCTTGGTAAGTTACAACTTTCTTGGTCCTCTGGCTTTGGTTCTTCTTTCCTCCCTCCCTTACTGTCCACCTTTCCTCCCTCTTTTCCTTCATTCCTTCTTTCTTCTTTCCTCTGTGTTTGTTGACATTTCTGGATCCTAGCTCCTTCAGCTCCATGTCTGGTGTATATGGGCAAAGAAAAAGAGAGAGAGAGAGAGAAAGGGAGGAAGGGAGGAAGGGGAAAGGAGAGGAGAGGGAAATAAAGAGGGTGGAGAGAGAGGGAGGGAGGAAGGGGAAAGGAGAGGATAGGGAAAGAGAGAGGAGAGAGAGAGGGAGAGAGAGGGAGGAAGGGAGGGAAGGGGAAAGAGAGGGAAAGAAACAAAAAGAGAGGGGAAGGGAGGAATGGGAAAGAAGAAGAGAGGGAAAGAAAGAAAGAGAGACACACACCAGAGAACTAATTAACTCCATTGTTCCTCAGGTCACAAGGTCCCTATCTGATCTGCCTTCACTCCACCTTTCAGAGTCTTATGTTTGTTTTGTATATATTATCAAGGGGTTTTAGGTCACTTAGTTGGAAGAATAGGGAAAAGTATATCTACTCTAGTTTTGTGGAAGTGGAATTCTTCTGAGAACCTCTTTTTTGATACAAAATATGTACTTGTGCATATTTTGTATCAAAATATATAATGTACATGTCCATTTTGTACATGTATATAAATTGTATATAAGTATTTAGGGTTATAAAAATAACCAAAGACACCAAAAACTGCCACAGGTGGATTTGAGAAGACGTTGAAATGCCTCCCCTGCTAAGACACGCTCCTCCTTGACAGAGTGGGAACCCTGAAAGCTGTAGTGTCACCACTGCCCTATCCTGTACCTACCTATCTTTTGACTCATTTCCTCCAAGCTCAGGTTTTCAGTTTTGGGTGTGTGCCACCTAAAACTGAGCTGTGGAACTGCAGCACAATCATCAAATTCAAAAAAGGCAAGGACATCTTGCTCAGATTTTAAGATACACCATAGATGGAGTAAACTAAAACCTTTGATTCCAGATCCTTAACCCCAATTAAAAACAACACAACCCTTCATGCCTATTTAAAACGTCCCTTGCAAAAGATGGTTTGAATATTCCAAGTTGGAAATACCCAGTCTTTTTAAGTTACAGCACCCTTTTTGATACAAAAAATGGGCATGACAGAAATTGTATAGTGAGTAGTGTTATAAAAATAACCAAACACACCAAAAACTGCCACGGGTAAATTTGAGAAAGTGCTGAAATACACCACACAGCGTGAGACCTTGCTGGCTCTGTCTAACAGATGACGCTGGGGCTGCAAATGGTGTCCCAGCCTTCCAGCGTCTGTGGTCTCCAGAACAGGGCTGAAACCTGTTCTGCGCTGACACTGCTCTCCTAAGAAGACCCCAAGTTGAGAGGAGCCTCTTACCCACTCATCTATAATCAAAGCAGACTTGATGCCCATCAGAGTTGCCCAGTGATTCTGGTGAGCCCTTCCTCCCTCTGGCTGTGAGTACTGGGGAGCATGGTGGGGACTTTCAGATAGCTCGGTGGAGCGCAGAAAGAGAGGGAGTTCCCCCTGACTCCTGCCCCAGTCAGTCAGCCCCGTGGGCCGAGGGGTAGCCCCACTGCTCAACCTCTCCACTCTCTTGGGGAGGACGAGGCAGCCTTGACCCACGAGGGCTGATGAATGGGTCGGTTATCGGCAGGCTCCTAGGCCACCAGCTTGGAGATCACGTTGTCCCTTTTAGATTCAGTGTGGCGGGAATCTAAAAGGCTGAGGATGGAGAAGCCTGCAGGATGGCAAAGTGAGGGACCCCGGCAGTGGGACCTCAGGAATCCACCCCTGAAACTCTGACTGGGGTGCCCGTGGAGGCCCTGAAGGTACAGCAGTCAGGCGCTCTGTGGCATTCTGAATACTGGCACGCAGCCTTCGGCCTCTGCCAGCTTTTGTGAGCTGCCCTGCACCAGGCAGAGGTGGCCCCCAGGCCTGGCACAGGGTCTGACACATGGCACATGCTATAGAAATAACTGTGGACTGCCTGACTGCAAGATCTCATTGAACGTCTGGTGCCGGGCCTCAGCCTGTGCTGCTGCAGCCAGGAGCAAATAC